TGAATAAGCGGAAGCGAGCGAAGCAATGGCGGAATATGAAGTGCCAGCGGTAACCAGGTGATCGGGACATGAGCGGAAACGGGGACCGAGTGAATGTGACATGGATGAATGGCGGTTACCGAGTGAACGGGACATGAGCGAGTGGCACAGTGTGTATATATATATGAGCGACAGAGAGTGGAGGAGAGGTGTTGTGTCTGAATTGTGCGTTACTAAATGGATAGATTTCCCTGGATGTAATGAGCGAGCGATGTAAGTGTGTTATCGAAAATATATGTATATTACGGAAACGATTAGAAGGGGATGATGTAATTATATAAACTGAAATATAAAGAACTTATAACACTGGAATTTTGACCTTAAGGGATTTACAACAAGACTTTAATGACACCCAGAATCGAGACATTATAAAAAAGAAACCCTATTGTCACTAGGAATCTCTGTGACCTAATAGACCACCGCCTATACCCCATGAATTTCCCCAACTTCTGCCTCATTAGTGGCTTTATCCTTCTGTTACCTCTTTTAATCAAAATTGAATTCAGAACAGCAGTTAAGCAGGTCGACAAGGCTCCCGCGTACTTAACTACATTGAACTACCTTAAAACCGCTTTTGGCGCATAACAAGGCTTAGATTAATCAATTCTTCTCATGCTCTAAACCAGTGAAATGAAGTTCTCTAAATTCAAAATTTATATAAGTATGGATAAAGTGTGAAAGAGATGAGTGGGAAGAAATGAGTGCTATTTCATTATTTACTACTAAAACTGAAAAGATTAGAACTACAAAGCAGTAATTGAAAGTAGTAAACTAATCTACGAAAACGGTAAAGACTTGGCCAAGGGAGTAGGGAAATCCCTCATCCTTTGGCCATTCGTGTGGAGAACTCCTTTACAGGGTTGGAGCTCTTGGAGATAGGAAGACGACTAACGTGCAGAAAGTAATTGCTAGAAGTATATCAATAATCAAAGTCTCGATCCCGTTACATAAAGATATATGGCCCTATTTATAGCAGGTTAAATGGGACGGTTGCAATCAGTTGCTGGCGGTTCCAACCGTTGGGCAGTTAGGCGGTTACTGGTAGTTATTCTGTTGAAACAGTTGCTGGCCGTAACTTCCATGGCTCTTGCTTTGATCGCATTGAATTGCAAGGACTCAGATCTTCCTCGCTTGCCGGAGGGCATCAGCGCAGCTAGGCTCGCTTGTGCTGGCTGTACCGCTGCAGTTGGAACACTTAGTTGGAATATGTGATAGTGGGTGTCTGGGTTGTCGCTTGCAAGCGGGAGAGGCTGTCGCTTGCGGGCGGTGAAAGCTACCGCTTGCCTCTCATGCTTTAGTCTTTTCAGGAGATTTCTGGGCGCTTGCGAGCGGAGGTGGCTGCCGCTTGTGGCGCATGCCTTAGCTTTTCTGGCACCAAACTACCGTTTAAAAATGGCAAAAATCGTCAATAATCTCAACGAAATCTGGATCATGCCAAGCGATATAGATCAATAATGTATGCCATTTACAAGTTATTATGATGGTTTTTATACAGAAATTCAAATAATACACATTTTCGTCAAGCTAAGAATATGTTCATATTTGGAGTCATCAGTATCCCACATTGGAAGTATTCTTGGGTCTCTCTTGGTTTATAAGAGTGAAGAACTACTCTATCTAAAATCAATTGACTTTAAAGTGGAATTTCGGGTCCATTCTTAACATATCCCATAACACACTTGTGTTATTTCCCACGCCTGGGCGCCCCTTTCCTATTTAACATGCCCATACATTTTTTTTTTCCGAGTTATATTCCGAATTGCAATCTGTTTTGGATTCATTTTATTCCAAGACCGCTCTCTGTTTTGGATTTACTCTATTTCAGAATACACCTGTGTTACTTCCCACGCTTGGATGTCCTTTTTATTTTACACATCCAAACACCTTTTCTTAGGTTCCATCCCAAAAATTGCAATTTGTTCTAGATTCATTCTATCCCGGAACACACTTATGTTACTTCCCACGCCTAGGCGCCTCCTTCTTATTTCACATGTCCAGGTGTCTTTCCATAGTCTATCATGAAATGTAATATTTTTCAGATTCATTCTATCTCGGGACCGTTTCTGTTCCAGATTCACTTAAATACGAAACATACTTTTATTGTTCTATATGCCCGGGCATCCTTATACTATTTTCATATGCCTGGGCGCCCTTTTGATTCTAGTTTGGAAGTATTGTTTGTTCCAAAATCTATTCAAAAACTGCTTTTTTCATTCATTCGCACACTTGGACATTCTCTAGTTCATCATGACGGTCAATTTCGCATTTAAATTAATTTTAAGGTGATAACAAATATACATTTACACACATATATATATGTATTGACACCGGCCCAAACTCAAAGGGAAGACCTATTGAGAGCCCACGAATGTTAACCTAAAATATTAGAATGAGAGTTAATCAAATAGTCTGAAAAAAATTATACGAAGATAAAAGATCCAAAAAAAAAAAAAATAGAATTTGTTAAAATGTTCAGAAGGCAAGAAGACCTAAAAAAAAATGATTCAATCAAATGAAAGCTCAATCCTTTAGAAAAAATAAGAACAAAGTAGATATTGAAGGTGAAACCATTTTATATTGTGGAGATAATAAAAATTAGTCAAATGAGACATAAAGTTACGAGAAGAGGGAGCAAATGAATATAACTTAACACATAAATAACAAATTATGTTGAAAAAAAAAAACGAAAAATCTTAAAACATATTGATTCAACAATTTAGTTTTTATTTTTGTTTCTTTCATTTCTTCACTTCATGTCATTTATTTAACTTTATTTCTAACTTTAAATTTCATTTTATATTTATTGCATTTACTTTTTAATTTCAAATTTTCATCAATCTCTTCCGTTGTTTTTTTTTTTTTTTTTTTTTTTTTTGCATTTCAATATTCTTTTTTTTTTTTCATTTTATTGCAATTATTTGTTTCATGTTCAAATTTCTTTCAATGAGACCAAGTCCAAAAAATTTATTGATCCGGCATATAAATTCACCTTGACAACTTCCTGAACTCATTCGATCATGCACTCGGAATACATGTTTCGGGTGCCCAAATTGTCCGCAATCTCTAAAAAAAAAAGGTAATTTCTCATTATGATATTAAAAAAATATTAAAGCTTTTATCTTCCCCCGGTGGTATTTTCTTCATTTGACTCCGGATACCATCTACAGGACGGCAACTACTAATTGAAGTTCTTTTAAATTTTGAGTTTCGTCGTCGTTACGTCTGTGTTCTCACCGTTCAAATATTTTGGAAGTCGACCGAATTGTCTCTGAGTTAATTATACAGAAAAATGGGAGACGGCCGTGGCTGCAAGTGTAGGTTAGGCGGCCGAAGTTAATACACAATCCTTTCTCCGGCGGCGCAGTTGCTCCCACTGGTTTGAATGTGAATTATGCAACGAATTTTTATATTTTGAAATTTCAACGGTTCATTCGCAAAACTCTTCTATTGTTCCCAACCATATACTTTCTGCACTTCTCCAGAGCAAAGAGAGTCACTAATTACTCTATAGCAACATTCCAATTATTTCCACCGTTAATCTAGTACACAGTAAGTTTTGTTTATTAATTGTACACATATAATTTGTAAATGATGATTAATTATACCTAGGTTTTGAATATAAATTTATTTATTTGTGTTTGGATATCAACAAAATTAAGTAGAAGACGATTTGGCTTATGTCGAGTTTGTGCGAGCAACAATAATGAAACTTTTGGGGAATATCGACAGATGGTGGTCGTGGTATAATCAATATTCAAACCAATAGGAGCATTCGATGCCGCCCCCGGAGAGAAGGTGTGCATCAACTTCGGCCGCTTGACCTATATTTCAGCCTCGGCCGTCTCCCATTTTGTTGTATAATTAACTCGGAGACGTTTCAATCGACTTCCAAAATACTCCAACAGAGTGAACACAAACACAAAAACAACAAAACTCAAAGCATTGGAGAATTTCAACTAGTAGTTGCCGCCCCACTGATGGCAGTCAAAGTCAGTGGAAGGAAAAACAGTCGATGGAATATAAAAGTTATAATTTATTTTTCATATTATAATTATTCTTTTAGAAATTACGCCACGTGGTACGTTACGCCACGTGGTATAATTTGGGCACCTGGAACCGACTAGCCTTATATAATAGGCCATATAAGAAAGAATAATTCGATGAATAACAATAATATGTTATTTTCCTTTAGACATGAATTTTATCATATATAATATATTATATTTAGATGATTGTGACAAAAGTAGAGATAGTGAAAAAAAGAATGTGTGAGTTGAATTTTATAAAAAAGTTTTTGAAAATTTGAAAATTTTAAAAATAATAGAAAATTGAATGTTTTATGCTATATTTTATAAAATAAAATAATTATATTGATTTAATATTTTTTTTTATTTAAAAGAATATGTGTGTATTTGTTTTGTATTTTTTTTATACACTTATTTTTATATTAAGTATGAAATATAATATGAATAATATAAATAATAATATTTAATATTGAACTGTTGAAAATTTTGAAATGAATAGACTATATATTATATATTATGTACAATTATGTATATATTTTTTATAATATTCATCGATTAGGTGAATACACCCATTATTATTGATAACAAATGAAGAAATTTGAAAAACTTGTTTATATAAAAAGCTATTTTGAATAAATTAAATGTGTAAATATTATATTTATAATTGTAACATATTTATAAATTTTAAATATGATAAAAAAAAAATTATTGAACAGAAGAATACTGTATTTTACGCAACAAAAAAGTCATTTTGATAATATTTGCATTAGGATTTTAGAATATGTATGTATTATGGGAAAAAAACAATTAATTTAAAGTAATTGATAATTAAAAGAATATATTCATGATTATTTACCATCGGCATGCTTAGCTGTATTACAATTTTATTTATTTATTTATTTATTTTTGTTATAAATACGACTCCTCGTACAGTCCGGTCTGTCTTCTTTTTGGGTTCTCTCGAATTTTACTCAATTGCATCTACGTCTTCTGTGAAGGAAGGATTCGACGCTGAAATCGTGAGGGTTTTGAGCCCGATCTCAATCTCCTCTCCGGGTACGCGCTTCTGCTTTGATTAATTGAGTCCGATTGTGTTCAATTTTGCTGTGTGTGGGTTTCTGAGGCGTCGATCGCGCGATCTGAAATTAGAATCGAGTATTGCAGTGGTGGTTGGAGGGGAAGGGCTTTAGACTTCTAAGATCGATTGATTGTGGCGTTATTTTAGGCAATTGTGTCGGCTTAAGTTGCGCCGATGTGGATTTGGATGGGTTTTGAAGTTTGGGGGTTGATTGGTGCGGTGAATTTAGCGGTGATTGATGAGATTCGAAATGGTTTAGCTGTGTTGTTTCATTTGAATGGAAAGTGAAATCCCAGAGGAGAATATTGTTATTGTTTGAAAATTAAACGCTTCCCGCTGTTTAAATAGGATGAAGTGAATTGTGTGTTTGTGATTTCGATCTCTGCAATTTACCACCTCTGAACTTCATTGTAGGACACTTTCTACTGGACGGGATTTCTTCAGAAAAACAAGTTGTGTTTGCCAATTGAAAGTGGAATAATTCAAGAAACAGCAGAACCTTCGGTAATGTGGATATGCAGAACTTTGCTTTCTTAAGGATACAAATGAGATTTTAGTTTACCTTGATTGCTGTTCTGTTTTATCAAATATTGTTTTAGCTTGGACATTGAGCACTATAAAAATGTTTATTTGGGATTTGAGCTTCTAATTTTCGGATCATTATTTATTTTTCAAAGATGATTTTTTTTTGTTTGATTATTTAAAGATTACCTACAAAATGGCAGCTTACTTTTGTTTCTTTGTTTAATAACCTTAGGGAATCCTGTTTGCCTTATGTGATTCAAACCTGTTTAATACACCTGATATGGGAGTTGAGATAACCTTTTTTATCAGTGTTTTGGACATTGATGTTTTCTGCAGTGCCTTCATTCTGTTTTGTTAGTCCTTACATCTTCTGTTATTCTGCTGAGCAGGCTGACATATCATTTAGTGCGCGGATGTTTAACCAAGTTATTACGAATATTTTGATAAAGAAAAGAAAAATGAAAATGCCAACTTCATTTTCTGGAAACCAGAATTGCAGGGGTCACTATTATTTTTAGTCAGGTTCTGTGTACCATGAGGGTTTAGAGGATAAATTATTTTATTTACTCTTAATGAATATTTTGCTATGACTAATTGAAGCCATGGATTAAAAGAAGGTTTGATACAATTATGCTAAATTGTGTCATATATAACCCAACCCCACCATGTGGAATAAATTAACTGCTCAAATTAATTTGTGATTGTAGTGCCATCTTATTACATAGACATGCCCCTAGTAGTGATGCAAAAGTTCTTGATTTTTGTCTTGTAAAGTTTAAATGTTTTTGTTTTGAACATATACATATTTATAAGATAAGACATTTATTAGTACGAAAACAGCCATTGATATGGGTGGCTCTCACAACAGCTGGCAAAGAGAAAATATAAACTTTTATTCAAAATATCAAACTGTAGACATTAAGAGAAGTCAACAGTACATATATGTGCAGATGTATGTGTCTGTGTTGCAGGGTAATTTATTCAAACTTCAAATCACCAAATTATGCAGGAAAAACACTCTTTATCAATTAAATATTTAAATCTTATTTCTCTTAGTATTGATCTTTGGGTGGATCTGTCATCTTCTCAACAGTTTTCTTATCCTTTTTCTGCTCCTTATGGTTACTGATGTACCCAAGATCTCTATAAAAGCAAGAATGGTAGTAAAATGTGTTTTCAAACTGTGTTCCACTTCTCTTTGCTCAAAAGTTCACCCTGTGGTCAGAGTGCTACCTTCCTTTTTGTGGATCATGAGTTTGAATTCCTTTATTTTCTTATATTTTAAGAACCTTCAGATATCTGCATTTGATTTATGGCAAAAGGAGCCTATGTTCTTCTACAGGCTTCAAATGCAAATGTTAAATTTTTATGTTTCATGGAATCAATACAATTGTGTATATTTTGCTTATTAGTGTTCTTCAGTTATATTCTGACTTCAAGCTGTCTGTAAAAATATATTCATCTGTACTTATTTCAAGGTAAGTGTAACCTTGGGGATCAAACTTTTGCTCAATGCTGAGCTACATAGGTCCTATTTTCGCTATAAACTCAATATGCAGCCAGACTTATATCTCAGTTTGAACAAGTTTGGTTTCATTTCTATTTTCTTATTGCAGATTCTGCAACAATCTATAGAATGGTTCTGCATGGATGCAAAAGGCGAAGAGAACCCATTATAGTTGGTGATGGAAAAGGCGACACCTTGGTGGATAAGCAACGGCAAGGGGAATGCACTATGCTTAGTGATGGAAGAGGGGACACCTTGGTGAGAAGTAGAAAACCTCAGGCTTTGACCAGTAAATCAGAACTCCCTTTACTTGACCTGCCCTATCACATACTGTACGACATTTTTGCAAGGCTTCCGCTACTGAACATACTCCGCTGCAGATGTGTTTGCAAGACACTCCTTGGCCTTCTCAAGGATTCATATTTCTCCACAGTACATCTTACTAGAGCACCCATTGTAACAACAAACCTAATTCTTCAAGAAAATGTTGGGAAATGGGGAGCTCTACACTTCTTTACATTTGATCTTCAGGAATCCGCATTGGCCTCTTGCAGCAGTGATAATCAAAATGGTAATTGCTATTTCAGCCATGGGCTGCCCACATTAAGCAGGACAAATGCAGACTTCAGTTTCCGTACCCAAAGGCTAACTCTTGTTGGTTCCTGCAATGGACTGCTATGTTTGTATTTTGCCTCATCACCAAATCCTTTCTATGGCATCTGCAACCCTCTACTTGGTGAATGTTTAAAGCTTCCTCCGGTAACTGAATCTGCTCCAGCTTACACCTATGCCAACTATTCAGGATTCGGTTACAGTACGAAGATGAAGCAATATAAGGTCATTAGTTTCATGTACCGGACATCCAGTGACCCTCAGTTATCCACAGTCTCGAAACAAATGGTGGCTAATGTGCACACACTTGGCTCAGACTCTTGGAGAAGAATCGAGAATGTTCCATGCCCAGAACGCAGCTCTTTCGACCCTTTCCTAAATGGCGCCCTCCACTGGATCACCAACAGCGGGAAACCCTCTGAGCTTATATCTTCATTTGATTTGGAAAACGAAATGTTTAAGGCCATCCCACCGCCACCTCACTTCAATGTACAGTACATGAAAAAAGTGGTGGGGATTAACATCGGCATCCTGAGAGACTGCATGTGCATGTGCTACATATACAATGGGGTGGAATTCGAGGTTTGGGTGATGAAGGAGTACGGGGTGCAGGATTCATGGACGAAAGAGTTCAGCATCGACTTGAAATTCTACTGCAAGTTGCAAGTAGATGATCTGCGACGGCCCATCAAATTTTTCAGCAATGGGGATCTGTTGTTCATATCGAGTTATGATTCAATAGTGTGTTTCAGTCCTCAAAAGAGAACTTTCAGGGAAATGAGGTCGCTGGGGCCGTGGCTGAAAGAGGTCAGCGCTCACAGTTTGAGCTTCTTATCGCTGAAGGAAGTGGCGGGATCAAAGAAAGACAAGGTGAGGAACCTCAAAGTCGGGAGAAGGAGGTATGTATTCGGTGTATAGTATAAAAAAGCAAATTGATTCGTTAGATTGCAGCACAAATACTTACTAGTTCTAGTATTGTGGTGAAATTTTGCAGAGAGCGTCGATACAATACAATACAAGAAATACATATACATGGATAGATGCTAGTTGTAGGGGTTTTGTGTTGCAAGAACTGTAGTGTACTGTACTGTTTGTTTGTGTAGACTGGTTGGGTAACTTTACTTTGACATTGGCATTTTGCATTGGCATTGACATTGTTTTCAACCATTGATTTCTTCCTTGTGAACATTATTATTGTTTTAGAGTATGTGGATGTGTTTTGTGTTGCAGGTGAGTGCTAGAATACTTAGCTGTACAATTTTCTCTCTCTTTCTCACAGGTGTATGTATTAGCAGAGTTGAGGTTTAATATATATAGAGAGAGAGAGAGAGCAGTTGCAGAACTAATTGTGGTGTGATTCAGCAGAAGCAACAAGGGCAGGCAGCATCAATAACCAATGTAATGTACATAAATACACATATGCTTGCTATATGTTTTTTCATTTTTTTTAGTCGATCATCTTTTCCAATACCATTTTAAGAATAATTTGATCCTCGGCCGGCCGTAGTATTAGTTTGTTAAGATTATATACACTGGCACTTTCAGCCTTTTCTAGGGTAGTAGACATGCCATAATCACTGTAGGATCAACTCAAGTAGTGTCTTCACAATTCTCGCCACAAATGGCAGACTTACATCCTAAAAAATATGGGTTCCTAAGGTAATCGAACCACATAAACTTCCTTAGAGAAGATTCATGGACCGGGTAGTCCTTACATACCCCAAGGATGACCACTGTCCGATCGTTGAATGTAGTCCAACCTTCAACTCATCACTTTTACCACCTAGGGGAGTATATGAAGTCATCCGATCATGTCTTCCTTCACTAGATCCATTGGTGAAAAATCTTCAAGATCAGTCATGGGGGAGCCTAGGGACCAACCACGTCCCCATCCACCAATGGATTTAGAATCCATTGTGACTGCCTTCCGACATGTATCTGGTTATCCGACCAGGCTTTCAGACAAGTTGCTTACCTTCTGGGCTTTTAATTCGAGAAGATTGTCTTGTCGGGATAGACGTGGCAAGTGGCTCTTGTTTTAGTGACCACGCATCTGGTGGGTGTCTAAATCAGTTGGAAATTCAGTTTTTTCTTAGGTGTCTTATAGTCCTTAGCGTGGTGTCCTGTTTTATCGCAGTTAAAATAATTACTCGTAAATTTGGACTACATAGCCTTATCTTTGCTCTTGTCCGTCTAAGTTGCACATGCATGTTTCTTGGAGGGTATCCGGCCAGGTTGGCTTTGACAATATCTTTATCTTTAGTCTTGTATTGCTTTATGTTATCCTCTTTTATTCGGATTCAGACACTCAGATTTTAAAGTTCCACTTGCTTCCGTTCGTACTTGATATTGCTCTAACTTGGGAGCAATTTCTCGATCATCACACTTGTGATAAATTTTTTCGATAACAACATCTACTCGGCGATAACATAGTGGACTATATGTTGAAATTTCTCAACTTATTCAATGACGGACTTGTCATGTATCATTTTATAGTCCATAAATTAGACTACAAAAAATATTTTGAATCCGATATTTTTGAACTTGTATTTTTTCTCAAGGGCATTCTACAATCTTTTGACAATCTTTATTTTATAGTATACATTATACAAAGTATTAAAAAGACTATCTAAAATTGTAATATTTCGCCATGTTTTCTACGTGAGCCTACGTTGCATAGTTCGCATGTGTATGATAATTTGCATTGGGCTTCGGGGTCATTGGATCGTCTAGTAGCACAAACATGGCGAACCCGATCAGGATTAGGTAAAAAATTATTTTCTCTTGCCACCTCTTAAAATTCTTTCCGTTATATAGCTGTGAGACCACTACCTAAGGTATCATTCATGGGCCGAACTCAATACTGGAGGTTTGAGTTGCAAAGACAGCAAGAGGGTGCGGCCATCTAGCACTGAGAATCGGGATGAAGACAACAATAGTAGCAGGACCCGAAGTGTGGACAGGGTTGGGCTAACAGTCGGAAATAAGCCCGACGGGCATGTCGATCTTAGTTGGAGTCACCATTGGACCTCCACTAGCATCCATAACATCAACAACATTATTGTTGGATGACATTATTGCAATATTGTATTATATGCGCGATTATGGTAATTAATATCGCGAGAATAATAAAATAATCATCAAATAAATAATTCGGTCCGACCTAACATGATTTTGAATCGTGCCAGACAAATTTAGGTCCGGGTACACTCAGCTTGAAATTGGACCGGGCCGGGACCGGTCATTTTTTATTTATAAATTTTATAATCCATTGAAATTTTATTTTAACCTCGTACTATTACACAATTATATTTTGTTATATTAGTGTAAATAAATACAATTATGATAAATCTTTTTTTTTTACAATTAAAAATTTAAAAATATTTATCTTATTAATGTTATTGTTTCCCAGCTCAACTAAGTATTATGTACTATTTGACTTGGTAAACAATTTGAACATATTAAAGAATCAATGTAATAGTGCCGAAATAAATTATGCTTCATATCCCTCTCAATTTCATTGTTGTAGTAAACAACATCAACTCCAATTTTAGGGTTTTGTTTGTTTTGAAGTTCTAACCTTTAAATTCCAATTTTAAGTTTTCATTACATATTATTATATATTTAATAATAATTTGTTTTTTCGTATATTTTTAAAAATTGAATCGAGCCAGCACGATCAAGTTTTAATAGGCCCGGGCCCAGCACATTTCAATCGGCCCAATTCAGCCTAAAATTATTTTGGACTAATTTTGAGTTCATATTAACTTTTTTTTTTTTTTTTTTTTTTGGGGAATTTACTTATTTTTTTCCATGCTTTATTTGGTAGTGACTTCGGTTCATAGCATAATATTTTCAAAGATAAAATATTTCATCTCCAAATTAGGTGAAGTTCTCTTATTTTAGAGCTCCAACTAATTAAAATTTATGAGAGATAATCACGTTGTGTCAAATAGGTTGGATAGGAGATGATATGCTGGACTTGTGCCGGAAAACCCACAGAGAGGCCACCGGAAAGCAGAAAGAGCTACGATAATTTTAAAACTTTCGTTTTAGATTATAATAAATATATCCATCGAATATAATTTTATTATGATATTCTTGTAACTTGGACTATACCCCGATTTAACTTTAATATTCACAACTGGGTGACAGATAACAATAGTCAATAATTTACCAAACTCCATATATATATATATATATTTAATCCAAATGAATTTAATTAATTTGATTTGTTGGCTCGTCGCTATTTTCACTTACAGATTAATCGATTTTGAAAATTTTAAATTTAATTGTTAAAAATTTAATTTCATCGGTTCAATAATTAATTAATTATCCAATATTAGTTAACCAATTAACTAATGTTAATTACAATCAGAAAATTGAGAAGGCCACCATTATCAACTTGGGGTTCTGAATTGGATTATGCTCAATATTTTATAACGGCGACCACTACAGTATTGAATATAAAATTCAGACACTGTGCTAAATAGCACACTATGTGCTATAAGACAGTACACGGTATTACCATAAACAAAACACAAAATATTTTAACAGTGGCGGAACCATAAATATTATTTAGAGGAGGCTCAATGTTAAAATAATATAAAAAAATTATAAAGTAAAATAATTAAAATATTTTTTTTAAAATTTGAATATATATATATATATAAAAATGTATAATTTTACAATGAAAATAAAAAACTAAAATCTTTTTCTACAAATTAAAAACAAAAGAGAATTTTACTATAAAAATAAAAACAAGCTACTTTGACTTAAAAAAAAAACAAACAAAGAAGTCAATCAGAACACAAAATTGAATAATCACATACATACACTAAACATAGTTATAATCTTACATTGTATATACCAAATTAAATACTATAACTCAGTCAACCACAATTCTAAACAAATATATATATATAGCAAAAATAAATTAGAGATAAACTAAATATATAAATCTCAAATCCTACTTAAATTAAATTAAAATCTACTTACAAATCCTATTAGCCAAGCAATAAATAAAGCAGAAAATGAACATAAATAATCAACATAAAATTAAATTAATAATATTTATATATACTGATATCATATAACATAATAGTTTATTTAAAATAGAGGCAGTCAAACTCTCAGATAAAGAGAGAGGAGGACTCCAAAGATCGGTAGACCGGCAGCGGCGGCTGGCCGGCGAGCTCTGGATAGGGCAGCGGCAACAGTGGACTGGGCGATTCAAGCTAGAAGACGAGTGAGAGTAAAGACAATTTTGATAGAATTTAATTTAATTTTATCCTTTTTAAACCTAACCCTAAAATTTATATAATAAAATTTAATTTATAAATTTACTAAATTATATAAGTGGACTAGCTCAATACAGTAGAAAAACTATCAATCCAAAGCCTACTTTAGCATCCATATCTTCTATAAGAGCTCAATTTTATCACATTTTTCAATTCTTCGATTCAATCAGCCCCACTGCAACTCTTGTATATGGGAGAACATAGCCCACAGTTGCGATCCGTCGAAGGGGCTGAATAATTAATTTAACAATACATAATATAATCTCACACAGCATATACAATACTTGATTTCAACATATAACATACTCTTATACAACACATGTTATAATTATGAACTAACAACACATGCTTTTATTACAAACATCACATGCTGTATATAATAAAGACGTTTGTTGCTTTTATATTTTACGATTTAGAGAATCAGCATGGTACTTATTTTTAAATTCACCCCACTAAGCTTTCCCCTTTATAATATAGTCATCTTCAATTATTTAACTATACAATTTAAATGGATCTTTCGGGTTTTGCCGTTTTAGGTCGTTAAATTAAAGCTAAAAATTTGATTTTTTTCCCATGATTCCAATAGATTGCATTAGATGAGATTTAAATTTTGGGTCGACGACAACAAAATTGTTTGATGTTTTGAATTGTTTTGTAAATAATAAAATATTAAATATATTATTTTAAATAATTTTTATTTTTTGTCCACAAAAGTGTGCTTTTTTATTATTTTTAATCGTACAACAAAAGTACATTCATATCATATTTAGTACTCCCTCCGTTGTCCAATTGTTTGCTCATTTGATTGGGCACGGATTTTAAGAAAAATATGTAAAAATAGAAATTTTTATTTTTTTTGGTAAAGAAAAATGGTATTTTTTTACTAAAAAAAGAAAATGCGAATAAATTTGGATGACAACCAAAAAAAGAAAAGTAAGAATAGATTTGAATGACGGAGGAGTATAAAAGTTAAATTATTCTTTACATTTTTATAAAATATTTATCATATGTATTGTGATGACGATGGATTCACATGATTTTTACATTCAATCTACTATAATTTAAAAATTATACTCCCTTCGTCCCAGATAAGGTGTCTGCTACACTGTAGATACTGTATTTTAAGAGGAATGTAATTAGTAGATAATTAAGAATGTATTAGTGAAAATAATTATCCTATAATATAAATAATTATAAATTAAGATTAAGATAACTAATTAGTTTAATTAAAATTAAAAAAATTAAAAATTTAAAATGAGATTAAAGTGTGTAATCATTTTCTAAAAAAAGAAAATGATATGGTACGTGGAACGGACAAAGACGGTAACATGAAGATAATATTTGGGACGGAGGAGTATTGTATTACTGATTTTGTAAAAGTTTCTCTTAGATTTATAAAAGTTCAAAAAGCAACATTAAAATATTATTTCTTTTCATCTTCGTACTCAAAAGTTTTTATTATATATATTTTTTTGAATAAATAGAATAAAAATATTTTTATTTGCTTTTGATTTGAGTTGAAATTTTTAATTTAGATAATATTTGATATTTCATTATCCCTTAACAGTTTATCTATTTTTTATTTTAGTTTATTTTATAATAAAATGTTCATTTTTTTTTTAAGTAAACCTAACATTACAAATATCCTTCAAATTTACAATATATTTCACAAATATTAGTACATTTATATTAATATTTATAAAACTCCGTGCAAAAAAAAAAGGACGGAGGAAGTATTATATTCTACTCTCTCCGTCCAATTACAAAGTAAATATTTAATTAAATACCATTTTTTTTTCACGAATATCCTTATTTTACATTATATTATTACCCTTACACTAAAAAATAAGAATAAAAATGTAATTAGGTTACTTTTTAACTACCTACTAAAATTGTATAATACGAAAAAAATTGTGATAATATAAAAAATAATATTTTATATTGTTTAATTAATTTTTTATATATAAATAATATATGCATTATTAATATATATATATATGTATATTTATATTTTTAAAATAATATTTATAAAAAATTATTCCACAGTGTTATACAAATGGGTTCAAATAATTGCACGTTCTCAAATTTGGCCTAATTACCCGCGGCCAAACGGCTCCACATATATCTGCCTGCCATGCCCGTGCGCCAGAGATATGGCCGTAGTCCCCCTACCTACCTACCTACCTACCTACCCAATCTAAGCCTTCACGAGCACATATGGGACAGAACACTGCCCTCAACGACTCCGACTCCGACTCCGACTCCGGCACCTTTGATCACTAGCTGCTGCTGGAAACGGTCCAGAATCCCTGAATTTCGTCGAAAATGCGGGAAGGAAACCAACCGCTCCATCCAACAGCCGTGGCGATGGACGAGCTGCTCCTTGAATTTGGTAGAGATGATCGGCGTTGAAGAGCTGTCAGATTACGGCATGAGAATTTGCTCATGTGCCAATTCCAAAACCCTAATTGACTCTGTCAAGTTTCAATTTAGGGTTTAGGCTTTGATTAAGTAAGTATGAATGAAGGTAAATACAAATTAGACGAGTGGAACCCTCCCTAATAATTGAATCTTGCCCAAAGAGTTGAATTGAAAACCTTTCAGAAGAGTATGGAAGCTCTGACGAAAAAATGAATGAGATATGATCTTCGTCTTCGGGCGGGGCAGGGCGGGGCCTCCTCTCCCCTCTCTCTGTCAATGGGAAAAATTGTGCAGACAAAATTATTTATTGTACATGAAGATCAATCGACGAAAGGTCATGGTCAGGTCCATAGAATTCTCCAAACAATCGATCAGTAGTACTTGTTTCCCATTCAAGGAGAAACAGAGTCGAGACACGTCATTGAGTTAGTCATGGAAGCCTCTGCCGTATGTATCTATGTATATATGTATATAATTCTCTCATTCTACTTTTTCCTCCATTCCCTAGAACCCTAATCCCCTTTTTAGTGCTGCTAGGGATGGACGATCTTCGGCTTCTTAACTGTGCATTCTTAAATTACGCCCGCTCTCATTAACTCCGCCATGTCCTCTCTGCAGACATTGCATTTATTATGCTGAATTTCAGTGTCGCTTTTCACTTTTCGCTTTCCATGCACGAAGAATGCGTGACTGAAGCAGTGCAGGTATGTTCAGTTTCCATTGCTAATTAATTCATCCTGGTAGCGACAGATTGGGCAGGAATTGCAAAATGAAGACGTCGAGGAAGAGAAGTGGTGGCGGCGGGGGGAAGATTGATCCGAGCAGCTTACATTTGAGGAAAGAATCGACGCAGAATCGGAAGGGGGCAGCGAAAGTGGCCACACAGCGGTCTCCGATTTGTTCTGCACGGACGCTCGCCAAGCATCTCCACAACAATGGCGAGATTGATGGTATTGCCATTGCTGCTTTGTCTGTGGGATATCCATTGGAAGTGCAGAGTAATGTTGACGGCTGTAGTTGCTGCACTAATGGTGTTTGTGGAAATGCCACTGCAAAGGAGACAGATAGGAGTGTGTTTTTATGCAATCGGAGGAGCAGAAAATCCGAGAGTGAAGTGAGCAAACTCATTACTGAGGATGATGGTGAAGATAGTAAGGGCCAACCGTCATTTTCGACTCGGGATGATGACAATAGCTTCGAGAGCTACCCATCAGGAGTCTTCACCTGCAAGAATGCAAACTTTGCAGCCTCCATTTGCAGTGTTAACAAGAGCAGATTGAAGAAGAAGACTAACTATACTGGTACGGGCTTTCGATGTCATAATGGAAGACTTGGAAAGCAGAGGCGCCGAAGATCTGCTGTTGATGTCTCGCCTGGTTTTGGTATCGGAAGGGATAGCATGGTGAGTTTAACTGATCTGTCTGATGGTTCAGAGGATTTAAGAAATACAACTACAGCTTTGCGGCCACGGCTTGGGAACAAGGGTCAGCGTCATTCGCCTGTGTTTTCCAAGAGCTCTTGCAATAAATATGGCATGGAGTCATATGATGCAATCACAGGATCATCATTCAATGATGGTGATGATGAAGTGGATGAGGATCAACTTGGTTTGCCTGGGTGTGGGATTCCCTGTTATTGGTCTCGAAGGTCCACGCCAAAGTCTCGAGTATGGTATGGGAGTTGCTATTCTCCATCCCAATCCGTTCATCAAAGACATCAACATCATCATCGACGGTCCAATAAGAGGCGATTGAATTCTAGAATTACATGTCGTAGCGTTGCCAATGTTCCCCTCCTTGGCAGAGGAAGGTCATCGATTATAAGTGCAGAAACTGATGAAGACCCCTTGATAAATTTTGAAGAGCTTGACATGGAAGCGTCGAGCAGGTTGGATGGAATGAGATTGCCATTACAGTCAACGAGACAGGGTGGGTTAGAACTAGAACACAAATATAGCGTCCTGGAGATTGAGAATGTTGGAAGCATAAGTCATAAGTACAGGCCAATGTTTTCAGGAGATTTGGTTGGGCAGCACACAGTCCTAGAATCTCTTTCGAATGCAATTTCAAGAGGAAGGATTGCTCCGATTTATCTTTTCCAAGGCCCCTCCGGAACAGGAAAGACTTCAACAGCGAGGATTTTTGCTGCAGCTTTGAACTGCCTTTCCATCAATACGAATACTAAGCCTTGTGGGGTTTGCAGGGAATGTGTCGAATTTGTGTCGGGCAAGAGCAGACATTTTATAGAAGTCCATGGCTCTGATAGAAATGGAATCAAAGGTATGAAAAATGTCTTGAAAAGTGTCTCCATGGTTCATCAGTTCAAGGTATTTGCTTTGGATGAATGTGACCTGTTGCCTGCAAAGAAATGGCTTGCTGTTCTTCGAATTCTTAAGAAGCCAATGGCGAATGTCGTTATCATTCTTAGAACAACTGATACTGAATATGTGCCGCATGCTGTGCTATCGAGGTGTCAGAAACACATCTTCAACCGAATTACCTCTGGCGACATTGTCACCCGCCTTGCAAAGATTGCTGCTGCCGAGAACTTTGAAGTTGAGGTTAATGCACTTGATTTGATTGCTATGCACGCAGATGGCTCGCTCCGCGAAGCAGAAGCCATGCTGGACCAGTTGAGCTTGCTCGGGAAAAGAATTGACATCTCCATGGTGAATGAGCTCGTGAGTTTACGACAATATATCATCTTACATTCTTCTGCTAAATCAGAACTCCTTATTGTTTATCTTGGCTCCGCAGGTTGGGGTTGTTTCCGATGGAAAGCTATTGAACCTTTTGGCATCTGCCATGTCGCCAAATGCCGCAGAAACAGTGAGAAAGGCAAGGGAACTGATTGATTCAGGAGTTGATCCAATTGTTCTCATGTCCCGAATGGCAGGAATCATCGTAGACATCATTGCTGGTACTTACCCTTCCATTGAACACATTCCAGTCTCCGAAAGAGAATTAGACCAACTAAAGCATGCACTGGTGAGTCTCTCTGAGGCAGAGAAGCATCTCAGAGGTTCGAGTGATTGTTCCACATGGTTCACAGCAACTCTACTCCAGTTAGGATCCTCTGCAGCTTCACCTGAAATAACTGATGCCGCATTCGACAGAAACTTGAATGAAATCTGGCTTCAATGCCTTGAGAAATGCCATTCAAAGACACTGCAACAACTTCTTCGTGTTCATGGAAAGCTCGTCTCAATATCCGAAGCCAAAGGTAAATATAGTTTGAATATGTTGAAATGCAATGTCTAAGTTGATCCTGAACAGCTGCAACTTCTATATGGATGCAGGTAGGTTGTTAGTCCACATTGCGTTTGTCGACAAAAGCATCAAACTCCGAGCAGAAGGTTTTCTCAGCAGCATCACTAATTCATTAGAGGTTGTTTTACAACAGAGTGTAGAAGTCAGGATAGCACTACTTCCAGAACCTACGCATCGGTCACAGAGTGATAAAGATGAATCAATAGTTTCAGTTTCCGATGCTGGCGATCCGGATCCCAACACATGTCACGGGCCAATGCAGGCGAGGATCGATTCTTTTTCCATGGTCCATCAGCACCGAATGGAAACTGCATGGAAGCAGGCGGTGGCAAAGAAACCAGAAACTGATCATATCCTGTGTCGGGACCATGTGCCTCTGCAATCAAGAAATTCCACTGATGTTAGGCCCTCTCAGAACCACTGGGAAGACGAGCTGTGTCACGAACTCAATGCACTGAAACTAAACAATGGAATAGTGTCCCGTATGGCAAGGAGGCTCGACCAAGCCCCCATCCCTCCCTGCTCGTTGCACAGCAGCAGCTTTGCCAGTAATTTCCACGAAGAAAACATGTGAGTAGCCTTATGTGATCATAAACAGAGCAATTCAAGATCATCAATCCTCATCACCAATTTTGTATGCAGCAAAGGATACGAGTCGGGATCAGGTGCGCCATGTTGCAGTGGGATCTTCTGCTGGAACGATTCGAAGCAACACCAAGACCAACAGGGACGAAAGGTAATTCGTGCGACTGCCCAGGACTGAACATATTATGTATATCACTTGCTAGAGTTGGGGTGCTATGTTGTGACAGTGGTGCTTCGAAACCAGGTAAGCCGCAGGAGACGATTCCCGTGGCTTTGACAGATTACAGAACAGGCGATGGTAGCTGATGTAGCGATGATCACAGCCACAGGAAATGTTGCTTGTAAGTGTTTCTGTTGTTCATGTTTTTGGAAGGAATGTGGTTAGAAACACAAGTGTTCTTCAATAGTGTGTTATAATTTGATTGAGAATATTGATTTGAATTATGTGTGATGCTGTATTGTGTTGAAAGTTGAACTTAGATGGGAAAAGCATTAGATTAGCCTAATTTAAACTATAGGTTGACTTTAATTTGTGGAGGTCAATTCGATGAGAAGTTTCTCAAGTGTCTATTCATCAACACCAGAAATAATTTCTCTTTCTTATATATATATATATATTTATCAGAATCCGCAGCCACTATGTGAAAATACGCAACCTGCAAATTAGATTCGACAAAAAAAATCATCATAGGCAAATCATGTATGACGACTGATCTGAGACGGCTATGAACCCCTAACCTCTCCTCTAGGTTTTTTTTACATTTTATTCAATACAAAATGTGTGTGATATATTATTTAATAAATACTAGTATATTTTATATATTAATATTTTGCATTTAATAAAATGGTTTTAAATATAAATTATTATATAAAGTATTTTATAAATTCTTATATATTTATCTTATTATATAATTTTTTAATAATATATAATTTTAATTATAAAAATATAATTAATTTATAATATATATTTAATATTAATAATTTTATAATAAAAATTTTACTAATAAAACAATAAATAAATAAATAATATTACTGTAATTCTATATTATTATACTCATTCCATAGTTTAAATTTACTTTAATTTTTTTAAATTTATTTCATTACTAATTCTATAGCAAAGTTAACAAATTAATATTGAACTATTATATTCAATTCAAATACTTATTTATAACAAAGATCATTATCGTTATTATTTTATCTCTCTTTGTTTTTTTAATTTTTAACTGAATTTTCAAAAATATTCTCAATTACTTTTTTTATTTTTTTTATCATTTTTTAATTTATGTCCTGAATTCAAATGTTCTAAATTTATCGGATAGATAAAGTATTTAATACAATTTATATAGAGGCACTGCTAAATGGGTATTCCTATTAATTTATTTATCTCTACTTATTAAATATAACGGTTACATTTACATAAAATTTACTTTTTATTGAAAATATAAAAATTGTTTTCTCATTAAATGTTACTATTATATTAATGTTGAATGGTGATTTTACACTTTAATAACAATTAACTCTGTAATTTTATTTGTCATATTCTACCAAATACTTTTTTTTTTCATTTTTAACATATCAATATGGATATACAAATGCTATATATGATTTAATTGGTAGTGATTTAGAAGAAAATGATAAATATGAAGATTTTCAAGCAAATGACATCGTGAATAAAGATATTTAAGCGTAAGCTCTCTTGTTGACCTAAATCCCGAACTTGACGTTGAGTCGATTAGTAAATTTATTGATAATTATTTTTTTCAAGATAAATAAATTTTTTTGGAATATTTTTTTTCACACATACAAGTTTTTTTTTCTTATTTTATTTTTTTTTATGTACTACTTTTTAAATTTTATGGTGATTTTATATATGTTCATTTTAATTTATTGTTTATAGTATAGTTATCTATATATTATCTAATGAATTTATAATATCCGAAAATACATTATTTATTAAAAATAAAGAGATTGTTTTTAGATAAATGTTAACATTAATTATTTAATGTTACTAATATTTAGATTATTAGATCTTAGAAAAAGAAGATAGTTAGAAATTCTTTTGGAGGATTGTTAGTGAAAAGATGTAGAAAAAAAAATATGAAAAAGATTAGAGATATTTGAAAATTATTATTGATAGTTAGATATTTTTTTCTTATTTTATTTTTTTCAAATACATATATAAATATTATATTAAGATAAATAAGAACATAAAATAAAAAATATCGTGAAAATTTTCTCAAAAAATAACTAAACATATGTTTTACTTTCAATTGAGATGAAAAAAGTAAAAATTAAATTATAAAATTGAATTTTCAGTAAAAAAAAAAAATCAATATACTCCCTCTTCGTCCCATTGAAAGGTTGTCATTTTCCATTTTCGTCCGTCCCAAAATAAGATTACTATTTCCTAATTTAGTAATTGTACTACTTACCTAAAATAATAAATATCCTTCCACCTTACACTATATTACACAAATATCATTATTTTTATATTACACAATACTAATAGGAGTATTTTCGTCTTTTTCACTACAATCTATTATAATACTAGTATTAAAAAATCTACGTGCAAAAAGTAAACGGCAACCTTGCACCGGGACGGAGGGAGTATAATAGTTTTGAAAAAGATATTAGCCAACAAAAAAAAAAAAAAAAAAAACAAAACAAAAACAAAATCTACAAAAACAAACTAATTCAGAAAATATTAGATTTCATATCTTTTGGAATACTTACGGACAAAACTAATAAGGACAAAATTCGACTACAAAATTAATTTAATGGTACATAGTTTCCTAGCTAGAGAAGGGAATAAAAGCCTTTTTTTTTTTTTTTTTTATTTAGTCCATTCATTTAAACAATTTTGATAATTTTGTTTTTAATATGTATAGAATAATAATTAATTATATATTGATCAATAGTCTTCGTAAATAACATATTTTATTTTTTTAATAGCAATTTTTAATTAATTTTTTTAGTTTTATTAGTTCTAATAAGGCATTTCAGTCAATATTAACGTCACTTACCACAACAATTATTATTATTATTAAGTAGTCTTAATTTTATTTTGATACTGTTTAAAATTAAAATTAATGTATTAACATTGACGCAAATTCAGAAGAAAATCAAATTGAGTAGATTGATAGGTCATGTATAGGAATTGTATAGGATAGTTATGAAAGCATATTTCAAAACTATCAAGAGTATGCGAGAAGATCTGGATTTAACGTTTTAAAGAGATCATTAACAAAGAAAAAATATGCGTATATGACATGCGATAAATCACGAGTATCATTTACACAAAAGATTTCCAAAAGAATAGGATGTTCCGCTCGTCTCAATGCTATAAAGGAAAGAAGATGGATCATGGATTATTTCGAAAATAGTTACAACACACAATCATGATCTTGATCCAAATATGTCGATTTTAATGTTGGCTCATAGAAAAATTGGTGTACACATGAAGAGACAATTGGAGGCTAACGATATTGCGGGTATAAGACCAAGTAAGAACATTTGATTGTATTAAGTTCAAGGTGGTGGTCCTGAAAATATTGGATGTCTTCCAAAATATTGTAAGAATTTTATAGAGAGTACGAGAAGATTGAGATTGGGAGATGGAGATGCAGAAGCTATTCGAAAGCTTTTTGCGAGATTGCAATACCAAGATAGAAACTTTTTTTATATGATAGACATTAATGATGAGGGGAGGTTAAGAAATGTGTTGTGGATTCATCCGAGAAGTCGAGTTGCGTATGGAGACTTCAATGACGTAGTAAGCTTTGATACGACATATCTTGTCAATAAGTATGAAATGTCATTTAGAGCTTTTGTTAGGATTAATCATCATAGTCAATCTATATTGTTAGGGTGTGCTTTGGTGACACACGAAGACTCGACTTCATTCAAATAGCTTTTCAAAAATTGGGTTCAAGCAATGAATGGGGTATGACCTAAAGCCATATTGACTTATCAATGTGAAAGCATTAAAATAGCAATAAGGATGGTGTTGCTGAACACTATACATGATATTGTTTGTGGCATATAATGTCAAAATTGCTTTTGAATTTAAGGGTATTCAGGAGTATAATAAGGCGATAGTGTTACGGTTCCTAATTTTGAAAGAAATTGGACTGACTTTTTAGTCAAATATAGATTGGAAAACAAAGTTTGACTTCAAGATTTATATGCTGAAAAGGAAAAGTGGTTCCAGTTTATTTGAATCAGATGTTCTGGGCTAGTATGATTTCGATAGAAAGAAATTAAGGGATGCATGCATGTTTTGATGATTATATCCATTCAACATTCACACTGATAACTTTTTAAAATTATATATTTCATAGTAACTCAACACAATTATAATTAATTAATTATAATACATATATTGATGAAAATATTCATAGTATATTAAATACAACCCGTAATATATCTAAAAAGTTGTATACTCATTAAAAATCAATTTAATTTTAATTTTATTGAAATTACCGCATGAATATGAAAGGTTAATGTATTTATTTATGTATTTGTTTTAATTTAAATATTTTAACACATTTTTAATATTTCATATATATATAATATTAAACATTTTAACACATTCAATTAAATATTTTATATAATAGCATTTATTCTATCTAAAATATATAAAATATTTTGTTAAATCAAAATTTATCCATAGATTTAAAAAATAATGTCAAGATTAAAAATTAAATAGAATCTTTCAATTTTCCCAACGTTTTATGAAATTATATATAATATATTAAATGCAGCCGTGTATAGGAATTTGTACATATACTAATCTATTAAGAGATATTAAATAGTTGACATTGAAATTGAGCATAATGAAAGGTTTATATTTTTTTAAAAAATCCAAAATTAAAAATTTAAATGTCTATAATTTTATTCTTTTGTTAACAACAATAATCTATCTTATTTTCTAAAATCATGACGGATACTCGAAGCAAACAATCCATCCATCAAAAAGAATGGACAGTGCCTCCCTCTCCAAAAAGTTTAGAAACCATGTATGAGTATTCGAGGATTCAATATTCTAATTTGAAAAAAGATGGTTTAGAGTTACTGAATCGGTTCATTCATATTGTGAAAAGCTGTTTGTGAGCCAAATTCTACTTGAAAAAGAGCCACTTATTGAAATTGGAAATTATGTGGAAGTTCAATAACAATGCGAGTGAAAATCCCACGGGAAGACAATGTGAAAATCCAACATGAAAGCCAAATTTCAAGAGGTTTTGCTTCGGCCTCCACTCTTTATGAGATTGAAATTGGCACCGTAAATCATCCCTATAAAGATCCAACTTTTTCTTGTAAAATGACCAACAAAAATCCTTATTTTTATCCTTCTCAAAGCTTATATCTATTGTTGAGTTATACGGCGATACTCGCGAGTTTTGCCTAATTGTATCCAAACAATATTGATGGATGTTGAAAATGAATTTCGTGTATCAGACTTCTTGGCCAGTTGGAGGCAACTTTTTTGTCCACTTTTTAATTTCGAACTATTTTTTTTTTATCCCAAATATATTAAGGGATCGTGGAGTATCTCCACTCTGAGCTAAAATCGACGACAATGTTTACAAGTTGATCCTCCAAGATTCTCACCTTGCAATAACCTTCCATAATCACTCCAAAAATTAATCCACTGGTTAGTTGGTCCTTTGACGCATACCGGCTAAATTGGAACCGTAACTTTGGATGGAAGAATGTAAAGTCACTCGTGGAAGATGCATTCCAACCCTACATAGTACTGGAAAAATCATACTATAATGAAATATACCAACAAAAAATCAATTCAACTCGAGATAATAGAAAATATTACAATATATATATATATATAATAGTTACCAATAGAGATAATTAATTCTATTGACTATCTTTATATTAATTTTATAACATGATTATGATTACTCATTTTGTAAAGATAATTATTGAGAATAATAACTTAAGGTGAAAACATTACCACTATGAATAATCAATAAGAATAAAGGTTTCTAACAAAATTAAGGGGTTGTTCTCTTGTTATTTCAAATTGAAATCAATGATACTCATTATGTACAGTTTTTAATAAAAAATAAATAATAAAAAAAAAACATTATTTTTTTCTCAAAAACAACATATCAAAATACTTTATAAACAAAAATTCACATACATTAGATACCGTATCATACAATTCATTGAACATGACACATGATAGGTAAAAACCATTAAGTAATTATAATGCTCGAGACTTGACTCCATTTACATAACCAACTTTCAATCATTCTGACACTATTCAATTTTTTAAAGAAAATCACACCAAATATATTTTTATTTATACAAATCATCAAATCAAATACTAACCTTTTTTATTTATTCCAAACTTTCAAAATTACAAAAATCCCCAAAAATTTATGTCTAAACAGAGGTTATTACTGACTAATTTTAAACAAACCTACCAACCACAATACAATACTGCTTCCGTTCATCCTTGCTTAAGTTTGGCCTTCATCACCGCTCTTGCCAACTCCCTTAATGGGCAGGCATTCATTACTTGCACTGGAATTCCATTATTTTATTTAACACACATGTAAATAAAATCAAGGACTATATTATGTGCTATGTACAATTATGCTGAGTTATAAAATTTCTGCACTAATAACAGCCCTTACTATTAACTACGAAAATATATATATATATATATATGTGAAGAAGAAAAGTGATGATGCATGCAAATTAGGAAACATCAGATTGATTTATATAAGAAACAAACCAAACCATTTATATTCATTACCATAATTTAACAGACATATCTGCCTCTCTTTTCTAAAGTAAAATTCAGAAGCTAGTCAGTCAGTTCACAGACACTATAATATAATGACATCATATCATATATAAACTAAACACATGTGAGTTATGGTAAGCTAAGTAGATAGATCCCACCTTAGTTCAAACTTTTTTTTTTGTCTCAGATTTGGAGGGGTCTTACCTGATTTGATTTCTCCTCTTTGATCCTGTTGGATCAGTTTTAAGCTCTGGCCCTCTTGTTACTGCAATTAGGGCATTTGTATTGCTTGATGTGTTCCGCCTTTGCAGGCGTTATCTTCACGCATTTCCCATGGAACCATCTTTCGCATATATCGCAGCAGATCCAGAACTCGTCGCTCGCATAGTTGTCCCCACAAGCTCCACAGAGCGTGCCGCCTTGTTCATCATCTTCTTCTTCCTCGTCTCCACTTTCATCCTCTTCCTTCAGTGCAGATGCCTTAATTCCTTTGGCCTGCGGCTCGCTCGGACGAGAAGGCTAACAGAAGCAAATATACAGATGAAGATATACAGAATTGTAATTGCATCGTGTGACTAAATCATTTTAAGTCATGTAAATAAAATTAGCTGCTAACCACTCTGTTATTAGATTTATTCTTGCTGCTGTTGTTTTGGGTCTTCACTTGCTTAACAGCTCCGGTCACAACTTCAAATATAGTTGGTTGCTCATTGATCATTTGAAAAAGCCTCTTCCTGTTGACATATTGATTCCCGAGAAATTTTAGAATCAAGTACAGTTAAGAGACAATGCACACCAATGGCAAATTTATCCCGCCCAAAATATTATATCCAACAGCTAACAGAACAAGGAAAAAAACATGAAGACATGCCATGTTTCAACCTTAATATCCATATTGTCCAACCACAAAAACAAGTGTACCGTAGAAGCAACAAAATTAAGTGGACCAACATTTTTATCTAAAGTTCAAATAAGTCATTTAGCACCCTACTTCCACTAGTACTTGTGAGACACAAAAAGAATAATGCCATTTATCAACAAGTTCAATAAGGCAACAGACAATTGTATATAAAGGCTATAGAGCGAGGCAGAAATATATAAAGTAATACGAAGACAGCATGTTGAAGATTCACATCCTCTCTCTCAACCAACATAGATATTCTCTGGGCAGACTCAATTGTAAACTTGCATTTTCCAGCACAGAACCCTTAACCCAAATTGTGAAAATAACTGATAATAAAACACAGAAAGTTTCACCAGTGTTCGGAAAATGTGTGTTCCCAACAATAGAAATACATGAAAAATATGAGAAGTGTACCAAGACGTGTGAGAATTTGCTTCTAAGTGATTTTATAAAACCATGACATAAGCCCATCTAATAGTTATAGCTTAGAAAGCATTTACCTCTCACTTTTACCAAATCCAAATCGTGCGCCAAAGTAAAAGGAAACAGAAAGCAGCCATGAATCACTATGAACAGCAACCAGAGACAACCAGTCCTTGTCTTGCATCCCATCTCTTGCGAAGTTAATTCCAAGTGCGGGCTCAGGGAGTTCAGGAGGAACCTCTTCAACAGGTAAGTTCACTTCCCATGTCTCGTTTGGAAGCCCATAAAGACAGAGGTTCTCCTTCTCTGCAATAAATTGGCAAATGCAAACACAACATTAAGCTTATGTAAATTTTCCACAGAATATGAACAGCATATAATTTAAAATACAAAGAGCTAGCATAGACAAATAACTAAGATTCTTTTTCCATTATGATAAGGAGCTTATCATTATTAGGAAAAAATAAAGAGTTGAAATTTGACCGGCGACCGGTGAGAATGTAATGCCTTCACAATTCAGAAGTCATATCTTCATGCCACCAAAATATGCCTGTTTGCACAATAAGCTATCAAACAAGAAAACGACCAAAAAAAATGATGCCAATTTCTTGGATAATCCACAAGCAAACTTAATACAAGAATTTAATACACACTTGGTTAGGACCCAAAAAAAAAATCTATTTTAACAGGCTAAAATACACTATGGAAAACTACCACAGCACCACCATGCAAGAATATTGATTTTATCATACCATACTGCAAGATTTCTCCAATCTAGATCTATATGCAGGTACAGATTGAGCACTACTGATAGCTAATATAAACAGACATGTGACACTGTTAACAAGCTAGGAGTCTTGTTAAATATTAAAAGTGAGAAAAAAAAAAAAAAAAAGAAACAGAAACAGAGAACACATCCATAAATAACTGAGGGTGTGTTTATTTGGGGGTTTGGATTTTGGTTTGGAATTTGAATAGTGAAAATTTTTTAATTGGAATAGTTGCATGATGTGATATAAATAGGTGTTGATGTAATGTTTTGAATGTAAAATTGATTTTTAGTATAACGCAAATAATAAAAACATAGGTGTTTGATTTGATGTTTTGGAGAAAGAATTTGGTGAGTAGTAAAAACCGATGTAAAATCCTCCAAAAGAACACACCCTAGGGTATTTCCACTCTTCAATAAAGAGCATGGATTGAGATATTTACTTTTAAAACAGTACCCAAGACTGTCAACTAAAAACAAGATACAGCAATGTTGTAGACTGCCAAATGATTTTGTTGGCATTAGATAAAGCAGGACAAAAAATAAAAACTATGATTGTGATCATGTGGTTTTCTTTACACACGCAGAATCTAATGGGAAAAAACACAACACACAGAATCAACTGTAATAAATGTGAAAAGCATAATAAAGGCCATAATCTCTCCACTTTATGTACTCCCATCTATGTTCTTCACTCACAATCAATTTCACCCATCAAAAGACACAGCAGATAAAAAAACAAACACAAAAGAAAAATGCCTCAAACAGTGATGAAGTTCAAACACAACCATGGGAATTTCAAAAGAAAAGTGAGAGCAAGCTAAACTTCAAACGGGAAACGGCAAAAACTCACCGGGATCGCATTGCTGGTAAAATTTCTCCACATCTGCAAAACAAAAACAAACAAAAAATGATTAACCCCTGAATCTCGCTAAGCAATCATAGATCTTTAGTCGAACATTAGCAGACAGATTAAATCAAGCAAGCGGAACTCACAAACAATTCACGACTAAATCCGCGCATCTTACATACGTCAGCGATAGATAAAAACCTAAAATACATGCTTAACTTCTCACAGAAACAATAAAAGAAGCACGGATTTCTTCAAAAAACTGGAGCATTGGTTGCAGAAACGAAGAGTAAAAAGGAGCACGTACCGGTGGTTAGAGCTTTGATGAGGCCAGCCCTCCGGCCCTTGAAATCGTTGTAGACCTCTTCTACAGTTCTCGGTACAGGATGCGGAGTCCCCTCCATTCCAATCGTTTCCACACCAATACAACAAAACAAAAACCCTAAAATCACCTTTAAAATCAACACTCCCCCAAGCGAACGAGGATTCGCCGAAGTAGGGCTCTTACCAGAACTAGGGTTTCTATTCCACAATCCCCCCAAATATATGAAATGCTGTGCTAATTTGAAATTAACATATGTAAACAATTAGTTCAAACATGAGAAATTGGTCGCGTGCGCCTCCATTGAAATACCTTCGTACAACATTTGAAGAATCAGAGAGAGGGGGGAGGGGGAGGGGGAGCGAGTCGAGCGACAGCGGGAATGAGAAGTGAGAGAACGACTCTGAGGGTTTTTGTACTAAATTCAACATAGGGTAATTTCAAATCATTTCTGATGTCTTCTTTTAATTTTTTTTTTTAAATAATAATAATAAAAAAAATTCCAAAAATATATTTTTCAAAAATAATTAATATACTTATACTCATATTTTTATATTATTTATATAATTCCTTATATTTCATAAATATATATATATTTTTTTTTAAATAATTTTACTAAATAAATAAATTCTTCAGTTTTTATTTTTATAATTGTCAACTCAAATTCTTTTATTTTCTGACTAAAATTATATTATAAATACAAAAATATCTTTATTTTCTTATAATATTATTATTTAAAATAAATAAATAAATTATTTTTACATATATTATTTATATATTCTTCAATAAAATACTCACATATTTAAATTTGTGTGTCAAAAATAAAATAAAAAAAGATTATTAGTGAACAAATAAAGTATATACTTATGGCTAGAAAATATATGTTTTTCTATTTTTGAGTGTTTAATTATAAAATAATTATTTTATTAAATATATTATTTTTTTATAAATATTTATTTTGTAATTGGACGGAATAAATATTTTTTTTCAAAAAATGTTTGAATTCTTTTATTATACAAATTTTATATAAATAAAAATAATAAATGCTATAAAATATTTTAAATAATATTTTTAAAATAAATATAAATAAATAGTTTATCAATATTTATTGAATGATTATAAAATTTTACAAAATATTTTATATATTTTAATTCTTACCTTCCGGGTGAATATACTTATTTGGTGTTTTATAATAAATTAAAAATTATAGTAGTATTTTATTAGTTAGTTAATGTATGTAAAAAATTTAACTTTAGTATAAAATAATTGTATATGTAATAAATATATTTATAATTTAAATAAAATTAAAAAATATTTGTTATTAGTTTATAATTATTACTAAATAAGAAATAGATAAATTTGAGTGTGACAAATAAAATAATAAAATATAAACTTTAAAATTTGGACGAAAAAAAATAAAATTAAAATATAATAAAATATTATGCAATTTACTCTTTAATATATTATATTTGCTCTGTTATTTTCTTACAATGTCCATTTCGGGTGTGTTTGTTTGAGGGTTTGAATTTTGAGTTGAGATTTGAATAGTAAAAATTTTAAATTTGAATAGTTGTATGATGTGATATAAATAGGTGTTGATGTGATATTTTGAATGTAAAATTGATTTTTAGTATAATATAAAAAATAAAAAATAGGTGTTTGATTTGATATTTTTTGGGGGAAAAAATTAGATGAATAGTAGAAATCTAATTAAATCCCCCAAACAAACACACCCTTCATGTATTCATTTTATAAGTAAAAATATTGAAAGAAATTATACTAATTAATACTCCCTCCGTCCCGAACAAGGTGCAACATTTATTTTTGGGACAGGGTTTTAGGTGGGTAGTATTAAGTAGATAATTTAGAAATTAGATGATGTGATGGATAAAGAAATATATATTTTATTTTTTTATTTGGATGATGTGAGAGAATAAAGTGTGGGGTAGAGATTAAGTATAATTAATTATTTTCTATTTTGAAAATATTGCACGGTGTTTGAGACATACCAACAAGGTGCAACATTTATTTTTGGGACAGGTTTTTAGGTGGGTAGTATTAAATAGATAATTTAGAAATTAGATGATGTGATGGATAAAGAAATATATATTTTATTTTTTTATTTGGATGATGTGAGAGAATAAAGTGTGGGGTAGAGATTAAGTATAATTAATTATTTCCTATTTTGAAAATATTGCACGGTGTTTGAGACATACCAAAAAGGAAATATTGTAGGGTGTTTGAAACGGATGGAGTACAATATTAGCACTTTTTAATTTATTTAAAAAATCCAAATGATAATTGGATAGCTGAGAGAACAGATTTGATTACCAACATATTTGTTGAACACAGAAAATAGTGGGTAGAGTTTTCGAAAATGAGCCTACCAAATTAGGTTAAGATTTATTCAAAAGTTTAGTGGGCTTTCGAAAGTCCAAATATAGCTGCAATGACTTGGACGAGTCAAGCTTAAGGTCGGACGGAATAAGGTCGGGTAATGAAGCCGGACTTGGTCGGGACCTAATAAGGTCAGACACTGAAATCGGACTTGGTCGGGACCTAATAAGATCGGACATTGAAGTCGGACCTGGTCGGGACAAATCCCAAAGGTCAGGCGTAAGAAGGTCGGGCACTGAAGTCGGATCAAGTCCAAATGTCAGGCATAACAAGGTCGGACACAAAATTGAGACGGTATGAGGTCGGGTGCGATAAGGACGGGCGCTGAGGTCGAGTATTATCATGCCAAGTTCGATGGTCGGGCACAGTTAGGTCTGCTATAGAGATAAAGCAATATAAGGTCGGGTGTAACAAGGTCGGGCAGTAAAGTAGCTAATCTGCAAGCCAGGTGAGAAGGCAGTTCCTGATAGTGGATAGTAGCTTCAACTGGCGAGCGGTTTTTTAAGGTCGGACGTGGTAGGACGGTTGACACACGTGTCAATAGAAGAGAAGTTTTGGGGTGGTTAACAGCGGTTATGGTAACCGACCAGACAGCGGTTCGAACCGCATCTTCAAGGGGTTATTTAAGGATTCCGTACTGTTCGAAAAATGCATCTTCAACTGACAAAAATTCAAGAGAATTACTTTTGGGGATCACTACTTTATTTTTCAGTCTTTATTTTTATTTTTTCTATTTTATTTATGTATTCTACAGTATTTAGAGATTTATGATCTCAGGCACTCATTTATCAAATTCGAAGATATTTCTCTATTTTTGAATTTTACTTTTTATTGTTGAAAAATAGCATCAACAATATTATTTTAGCTATTTTTCATAAATATTAGTATAAAAAATAATTCTTTCATTTAAAAAGTTCTTTCGTTTTCGAATCAAATGAGTCTTTTGAAATTTTATACTAAATTAAAAAGTAATACTTATTTTATTAATTAGTAAAAATATATAAAAAAATTTGACATTTTTGTTATTTGAATTTATATACTTCCTCCGTCATTTACCAATCTATCCATTTTTCCACTTTGGTTCGTCTCATAACAAAGTATCTATTTCTTTTTTTAGTAATTGTACTATCTACCTAACATTATAAATATCCTTCCAATTTACACATATTACACAAATGACATTAACTTTTTATCATACAATACTAACGGGTTAATTTAATCATTTTACATTTTATTTCTGCTTTATCCCAATATAATACTAATATTTCTAAAACTCCTTAAAAAAGCAAATAGATATAGATATGAGACGATAAAATATAAAATAAGTGTATGTGTAATTGTACGAGAAAGAATATTTATTTACAAAAGTCAATAATATACCATTACAAACTCTATTACTTTGAAAGAAAAAATTTATTTACAAAAGTCAACAATTCAACCATATTTTTTATTAACTAAGCTAATTCGGTATTAATGGTATCGCTGAATCAAATAAAATTTGAACCGAATGACTGAACAAATAAATACTGATATATATATATGGACAAAAAATTTAATCGAATAACTGAATCGCTGAATCGAATTGAAAATTTTTATTAACTAAGCAAATTCGATTTAAATGCAAATATTGTATATTTGATATTTGTTCGATTTAAATCAATTTCAATTTATATATATATATATATTTTTTTTTTCAGTTCCTGACTAAATACATTTATATTATTATATTTCAAATTATATATTAATAATTATTTCATATTTGGTTCGTTCACTTCAATTTAAAATATTTATGTTGTATGTAAAATTTTGCTACCAAATGATCGGTGTGTATGAAGCCTATCAAAAAAAATAAAAAGGTGGATCGGCAACCAACTCAAAGAAATTGTCGAGCTAGTCTCACTTAGATAAATTATATAATCAAAATTAAAAATAATAGATAAAAACAAAATAAGTAAAGCAAAATCAATAAAATGAAGGCAGAATAAACAATAAGAAAAATAAAATTAAAAAACCAAACAAGTAAAGCTTAATTAAATCCTTTATCAATAAAGGCCATACAATCTTCCTCATAAAGTAACTTGAATGCAAGAAGTTTTTATTTTTTATTTTTTTTTTAAAAAAAGAAGCTAATAATTATGATAACTTGAATGCAAGAATTTTTTATTTTTTACTTTCTTTTTTAAAAAAAGAAGCTAATAATTATGAAGTTTTAGTTTCGGATTTTGATTTTGAATAATAAAATTTTGAATTAAAATAATTTTTTTTATGTAATATAAATATGTGTTAATATGATATTTTGAATGTGTTGATATGATTTTTCAACAATAAAAAAGTAAAAATCCGAAAATAGGAAATTATCTTCGAATTTGATATAATTAGGAATCTCTAAACACTGATAAAATAGGAAAATAAAACTACAGACTGAAAAATAAAGTGGTGATCCCAAAAGTAATTCTTCAAATCTTTAAATATTTTTTCAAGAAAACGTTTCAGAACCGTCGCCTGGTTGGTTACAGCAACCGCCCACTAATTCCTCCTTTATTGACAGTGTCTTTAACCGTCTCGCCAAACGCTTCCACCAGTTCCAGAACTCAACTGGTCCGACCGAGCGCCTCTGGGCCCCTTACTTCTTTAAATGGACGGCTAGTCCCGAACGAATGCTCCAAAACGCCCAGCATGCTTCAAACAGACCGCAGGCCGACCGACTGACCCAAACGCGTAACCCAACGATTGACCAATCCAGAGACTAACTGGTCGCTAGACCGACTCATTGGTCGCCCCATCAAGCGACCACCCTCTGGTCTTTCCAGACGATTTAATGGTCGCCCCAATCAAGCGACTGAACTACTGTTCACTTAATTAGGCGACTAATTAACATACCTTCTTCGCTTGGTCCAAACTCCATGTTGGCCGACTCAACCGATGGCGGACCAACCGACTGCGAACCAACCAACTGCAAACCATCCGATCCGACTGCAGACCATCTGACCACGGACTTTTTGACATGCCTATCCGACCGAGGACCTTTCGACTTGCCTGTCCGACTGCGGATCTTCCGACCTGCTTATTCGACTGCGGACCAACTGATCGGATCAACCGACCGTTGACCAACCGACCTGAGTGCATATTTTCTCCTTTTTCCGTCTAACTTCGTGTCCTAACTTCTTTAAAATCCTGCTACTATTATTATTATTATTATTACAATTATTTTTTGTACATAACAGAATGTAAAATTATATTTTAGTGTAATAAATTAAATAAAAATTGAGGGGGATTGATTTGACGTTTTTTAGAAAAAAAAAAAGAAAATTAAAATAATAAAATTTTACAAGTAAATATAATTATTAATACTTTTAAAAAATATTAATCGATGGTATAGAATAAATCCATGACTATGAAGTCATGAGTTTAAAATTTCAATTTCTCTATAGAATAAACAAATAAAATTGTATATAGAGAAAACACAATGACGAAAGTTAGGAATTCAAACAAATTATAATACTACTATTATTTTATAAAAAATATATACTTGTTAAAATAAATAAAATATGTATTAACAAAAGGTGTGATCATTTGAAATTATATATAATTTTTTAATTTTACTATTTTTTGCTATTTTTTATTTAAAAATATACTTTTTTTCTATTAAAATTATATATATTTTTTAAAATTGATATTTAAATATTAATTATAATATTTAAAATTTAGTACAAATAAAAAAATATTATTAATTAATATTTTATAATATTAATAAAATAATATTTACATAAAAAATTTAAAAATATTTTTAATATTAAATATAATAACATAAAAATTAAAATATTTTTTTTATCTATAAAAAAAGCATTATTTTTTTAACATATATTAAATATAAATATATAGTTATATTATTTTTTTATAATAAAATATAATACTCTTTCCTTCCAATTTAAAAGTCTCATTATAATTACAATATTTTTTTTATAAAGTAAATAAAACCCTAAGATGAAGTATAATTTTATTTAAAAAATTACCATATCCTTTTTATAATATTAAAAAAAAAAAATAGATTTAAATGGCTGAAAAAATAATAAAATTTAACAATTTATAAATACTATTTTATTAAATAAAGAAGAGCTTATTAAAGTTCGATGGTTGATGAAGGTGTCCAAACAGGCCTCGGGGTTCGGTCTTTCGTCCGCAGCTTGGTATCGTCCCTCTCTCTCTCTAGTTGCTATTTCCCTTGCACAGCAAGTTGATCGGATATGGCGACGCCGATGGCTGAGGACGACTTCGAGGACGACCAGATTGCATCCATGTCTACGGAAGACATCGTCAGGGCTTCTCGTCTTCTCGATAATGAGATCAGAATCTTAAAGGTTCGCCTGTTCTTTTAATGCCTTGCATAAATGCTCCCAGGATTCAGAGAAATACACTCAATTTGGAATCAATTTAGGTTTGCCAAAGTTGCCTAGGGTTTTCTACCGTCTCGCCGACGCCGTGTCTGTGTATGTATATATATGTATATAAGCTTTCAATACGTATTAAAGAAATTTCGATAATTTCTCAGGAAGAGTTTCAGAGATTGAATCTTGAGTTGGATTCATTCAAGGAGAAGACCAAGGAGAACAAAGAAAAAATAAAGTTGAACAAGCAGTTGCCGTACTTGGTCGGCAACATTGTTGAGGTATTATAATCGTTTAGGTTTAACATTTTACCCACATGAAAATTATTGACTTTCTGGGTTGTTCGCGCTCTAGGAAACTAGTAAGTTAATTATTGAAGTGTAATTTTGACAGTGAGCAGGATTTCTGTGTTTAAATCTTGTTGCCAGATGCTAGGGTTTATTAGCGAATTTGTTCATTGGGAAGGGCAAAGGGCTTTCTATATACTTTCAAATACTGCTGGGCTTCTCTGTTTATGGTTCAAAATGAGCGAGCGGTAATGAGAATATAAGAGCTAAGAGCTAGATTGTGCGGATACTAAACTGAATTAAATCACTATAGGGCAACAATCGAATAGCAATAATTGATAAGACACTGAAAGAAAAGCACTTAAAATGGTTGGTCATATTTAATGAGATCTGCTACCATAGATAGAGAGCAGGAATTTTCATTTTTTATTGAAAGTGAAAAGGGTAATGTTGTATTTAAATGTAGATGCATATATGTTTTTTTGAATGAATACATGGGAAAATATGATCTATAAACGAATGGTGGGATAAAGGCTTAGATGAGGATGACAATGATCAATAAAGATGTGGTGATTGTTGTTCTATGTTGATAAGATTTCTGTATATACTTTGGTCACAAAAATTGTATTGATGGGATATTTCACGATGAACTATTTTGTCAGATTTTGGAAATGAACCCTGAGGAAGATGCTGAAGAAGATGGTGCAAACATTGATCTCGACTCACAAAGGAAGGGTAAATGTGTGGTGCTCAAAACATCCACACGTCAGGTTTGTTTCCATATTGCTGTGCTGCTCTATCTCACTCTCCACATCTTCACTCGGGCTACTAATGATGCTGGAAATTCTCTAGAAAAAATCTCTAATATTTTTTGCATGCCTGTGGATTACTTTAAGTAGTTATTTTGCATATTGCTAGGAACATTTTTTTAAAAGTTTATTGATCAATTTCATTGTCATGCTTGAACATAGTGGGAAACTGTGTGTTGTGCACTTTGAATGTTTCCTTTGATTAATTTAACCAACCGGATTCTCTTGTGGGATCCGAGAGTTACCTTTCTCCATTCTAGAGAGATTCGTTAAACATAATATCTGTCAATTGCAGACAATTTTCTTGCCTGTAGTAGGCCTGGTTGATCCAGATAAATTGAAGCCTGGTGATCTGGTTGGAGTGAACAAGGACAGCTATCTCATCCTTGATACGTTGCCAGCTGAGTACGACTCCCGTGTCAAAGCTATGGAGGTTGATGAGAAGCCAACTGAAGATTACAATGATATTGGAGGTCTAGAGAAACAGGCAAGTTAATCTGCTTATGCAGACACATATATATGCACATAATTTTTCCATTGTTATTTTGGCATGTGTATATTCTTTTGTAAATTCTTTTTTGACTGCTTTAGATTCAAGAATTGGTGGAGGCAATTGTATTACCTATGACGCACAGAGAAAGATTTCAGAAATTAGGAATTCGTCCTCCAAAGGGTATCCTTCTATACGGTCCTCCAGGGACAGGGAAAACTCTAATGGCCCGTGCTTGTGCTGCTCAGACGAATGCTACTTTTTTGAAGCTAGCAGGTCCACAGCTTGTACAGGTATGACATTCGAGTAGTTTACTTAATTGGCTGGTGATGTGGTAGGATCTTGATTTTCGACATACTATATACATCTATACTTGTTCATAATCTGATATGTTGTACATTGATGCATTTCCATCTACAACAATCATTCTTCCCTTGGAATCTTGTATGGTGTTTGCCCTTTCTATTTTCTGAACTTAATAATCTTTCTGGTCTATTTAGATGTTCATTGGCGATGGAGCAAAGCTTGTTCGCGATGCTTTTCAACTTGCCAAAGAAAAGTCTCCTTGCATAATATTTATAGATGAGATTGATGCTATTGGTACAAAGCGGTTTGATAGGTGGGTAGTTGCTCCATGAATGCAATTCATTTGATTTTCACAAAACCTTTCACAATTATAATTCTTGAGGTTCTTGATGATATGAGTAGTAAGTTACAAAAATGTTCTGATTCCATGTATGTAATGAAATAATTATGTGTCCTGTTATGCAGTGAAGTTAGCGGGGATAGAGAGGTGCAGAGGACTATGTTAGAATTGCTCAATCAACTCGATGGTTTTAGCAGTGATGATCGGATTAAGGTTCTTAGCTGACTCTTCTGTTTGTGGCTTGTTACTTGTTTATTTTTTCATTAATCTTTTGTAACATGAATATTCTTCTATGTCTGCAATCTCTTGTTATGACATTTACTGGTAGAATTCATACCGGTGTGTTTGTTTGGGGGTTTGGATTTTGGTTTGGGATTCGAATTGTAAAAATTTTGAATTTGAATAGTTACATGATGTGATATAAATATGTAATTGATGTGATGTTTTGAATGTAAAATTAATTTTTAGTATAATATAAAAAGTGAAAAATAGGTGTTTTATTTGATGTGTTTTGGGGGAAATTTTTTTATAAACAGTAGAAATTTTGTAAAGTTTTATAAACGAACACACCCGTAATGTTCTTTGTGACCTGTTTGATTTTTGGTGAAAGGACTGTACTTCAGGTGCCTATGCGTAGCAAATTTGTTTTAAAATGCATACTTAGCAATGGTTGTTTGTTTTAAAATGCATACTTAGCAATGGTTGTTTCTTGAGACTTGTTGGTGTGTCCTTTTGGAGTTCTATTTTGTTTTTGGATGTGATGTTTTGTGGAGCGAATCGTGAATTTTCACAGGGAATCACAATGGTTGCATATTAAGAATCTGAAACTAAACTCTACAACTTCTTTCTGATATTCTTTTTCTGATGTCCAGGTGATAGCAGCTACAAATCGAGCTGACATCTTAGATCCTGCCTTAATGCGTTCCGGTCGCCTGGATCGTAAAATTGAATTTCCCCACCCTACCGAGGAAGCCAGGGCCCGGATTTTGCAGGTAAAACAACATTGTAATCTGAGAAATTGCAAGTTGTGTTTCAAATTAGAAGTATAACAATCCGGGTATTTTTCAGATTAACCGTAACTTTTGCATATTTTATTTCTACACACACGCCGCGCGCACACACACACACACATATATATATATATGTATTCTGAGTGATATATTAATGCTATTATAGATCCACTCGAGAAAGATGAACGTTCACCCTGACGTGAACTTTGAGGAGCTGGCTCGCTCAACGGATGACTTCAATGGAGCACAACTTAAAGCTGTTTGTGTGGAAGCCGGCATGTTAGCACTTCGCCGAGATGCCACAGAGGTAGGCCTCTACTCTTTTCTCAGAACCACTATTTTTAACAACATGGAATATGCTTTGCTCACAAATTATTACATTAATGCCGACAAGAATGAATCTATAACCAACAAGTAATACAGTCCATACTCCATAGATGTCTGAAAGTTAGTATAATTTAAATGTAGTCCAACAGCAAAGAATGATGTGGTGTGTTATGTGATTGCAGGTGAACCATGAAGATTTCAACGAAGGCATCATACAAGTTCAAGCCAAGAAGAAAGCCAGCTTAAATTACTACGCATAATCGTACAGGTCTCAGTTTCTCTCTCCCTCCCTCTCTCTCTCTCTCTCTCTCTCTCTCTCTACATTGGCCGGACTGGGTTTGTAATGTATTATGGATTCACAATCTTACATTACCACTATGATTGATTTGGATAATAATAGTATTATTTACTCTACAGAAAGCTCCGTTTATTAATTTTATTTGCAGAATTGAAAAGATGTTTGATTCAAATTAGGATGATATTGATGTTGATTTGACAAAAGTCAGCATAGGGCCAATGCTACAATATGATACTCCCTTTTGTTTCGATTCCTAAAAGTACAGTTTTATTGTGTTGGTCATGTGATTTAAGAAATATTGATATTATATTGATAACTCGGTAAAAAATAAGGATAAATAATTTTTTTTTGTTGTTCTTGTGAGTATATTAGTGTAAAAAACAGTGATAATTGTATAATAATAATAAAAAAGTAGGTATAATTTATGATTATTTATAGAAATTGGATTATTGTTTTGGATCGGACAAAAATGGTAAATAAGACTATTGTATTGGGACGGAGAGAGTAATATTTTTTTTTTTACTATGTTTGTCCGTCTCATTTAAAAATATTTACTTTCTTCGTTTTATGTAATATAGACGCATTACTGTGAATAAAATTTAAATGTGATTAAAATGTAATTATATTTTTGAAAGGAGAAAACGAAGTATTTTTTTTTACAAAAATAATTATACATTAATATTAAAATATTTTAATTTTGACTAAATTATAAATATATCATTAAAAATATAATTACTAAATACACTAATTAATGACCCTTTTGATTTGGGATTACAGTTTTGATTTGGGAGGGAGAGGGTATTATATCATATAGAAATGTGTTTAAATTATTTAGTCTTGTATTGTATAAATATTATTATTGTATTAAAATCAATAATACTATCTTGTTTAGAACAAAGTATTCAATTAATTTTTTGTATATAAATTTTTAAAATATTACTTCTTCTGTCTCGGATATTTTGTCCGCTGACATGAAAATTTAGGAGGGGCATAATTGGTAAATAATTAAAAATATATTAGTAAAAATAATTATAAATTAAAATTAAGATAACTGACTAGTATAATTAAAATTTAAAAAATTATAAATTATTTTTTTTTAAAATAAGATTAAAGTGTATAATTTTTTTAAAAAAAGAAAAGTAACATAAAAAAAATAAAATAAGTGGGATATTAAGAAAAATATAATTTTCTAATTTAATAATTGTACACTTACTAACATAATTAAAAGTCTTACAATTTTCAATATATTACACAAATGTCATTACTTTTATATCACACAATATAATAAGGATATTTTTGTCATTTTCACTATAAACTAATATAATATTAATATTAAAAAATCTACGTGAAAAGAAGTAAATGTTACCGATTTTATGGGACGGAGGCAGTATAATGATACAAATTGAAAAAAATAATGATATTTTTATAATATATTATTAATTATAAAAATGTTTTTAATATTAGATGAATAATATAATATATATTTTTTTTAAAAAATAAATATTTTGTTTCAAAACGAACAAAAATAAAAAAAATTACCAATATACTCCCTCAGTCTCTTAACAATCTATCCATTTTTTCATTTTAGTCTGTTCATAACAAAGTATCCATTTTTTTTTTAAGTAATTGTACCATCTACCTAACATTACAAATACCCTTCTAATTTACACTATATTACACAAATTTCATTACTTTATATCATACAATACTAATAGGGTTAATTTAGTTTTTTTACCTTTATTTTTACTTTATCCCAATATAATACTAATATTTCTAAAACTCCGCAAAAAGCAAATAGATATATATAGATATGAGACGGAGGGAGTATAAAAAAATGGAAAGAACATGTACTGAAATTATATTATATATTGTGATATTGCTAAAGATGTATTAGGCCCCGTTTGGATTTGGATTTAGTTATGTAAAGTGTTTTTGGTTTTTTCTTCTAAAAAGAATATTTATTTATATTTGTATTGACTTCTCTTCAAAAGTAGAAGCAACTTTTAGGCTTTAAAAGTATTTTTTTGAGAAGCACCTGAGGGGATACTTCTGAAAAAAACAGAAGCAGATTTACTATTTAAATTACAACTTTAACCATAATAATAATAATAATAACAATAATAACAAATTAAATAATAAAACAAAAATAATGTATTTATATAAAATTTAAATATAATTGTATTTTAATTATTAATTTATATATTTTATTTTAAGTAAATTTAAAATTTATGATTGAAAATATCAAATTTTAAAAATATAAATTTTAATTATATAGTAGATAATTTAATACTTTTAAATATAATTTATAAAGTTAGAATAATTTGTAGAATAGTATTATTTAAATTTAATTACAGTATATTTTTAATTTTAATTTTTATAAAAAAATACAAATATAGTTTATACAAAAAATCTAATAAATATATTTTTAATTAGTTTAGATAATTAAAAAATTTAAATATAATTTATAAAATTCTAAAATAATTTAATAAACAATATACTATTTAAATTACTATTATATTTAAACAGTTTAAAAACACTTTTAATTTTATTATATTTAAATAATTTTTTTTATAAAAATCTGTTTTTATAATTATTCATCCAAATATAAAATCGAACTACTTTCTACTTGTGCTTCCGTTTTTAACTTCTACTTATTTTTTAAATCAATTCAAACGGTAGTTTTAATCTTTAATCAAATCAGCAATATAAAGGTAAGTTACACGAAGTTGTCTATAATAAAATTGCCTGTGCAAGTCCTGTCCTGTCTCAATTTTCATGTGATGATGCAATGTAACCCACCCCCACCCCCACCCTACCCCACGCTACCCCACCCTACCCACCCATGCCTACCCAACTTAACTCGTATCTTTGAATGGGGACAGGGCAACTTCTTCCCCTCTCTTTTTTCTGGGCAGTTCCTCAATTTAAACATTTAGCCCATTTATAGACAAATTTGTACATTTAGACCCTGTTTGCTTTGTGCATTTCCTTTGTTGTTTTTTCCTCTCCTCAAATTTATTTATTTTTTCGTGTATCCGTTAAATTTACTAAAGTGAAAAGGTTAAAAATTGTCCTATTTAATTTAGCCGCAAAGCTTGAGATATTATGTAATTAGTAAATAATTAAAAAGTGTATCATTAAAAATAATTATTATATAATAAAAATAATTATAGATTAAAAGTAAGATGACTAAATAGTTTAACTAAAAAAAAATTATAAATTATGAATTTAAAAATATGATTAAAATATATAATTATATTTCCAAAATAGAAAAAATACAAATTAGGTAGGACGATCGGAAATAAAAATATGAGACAAATTGAGTGGGACAGATGATAGTATTATCTTTCATTAAATACTTATTTACCGTAAATAATATTAACTTTATTACATTCTCTCTTTATTTTTTTTAATTAGTAATTAAAATTTTTAAAAATACCCTCAATTATCGTTTTATTACTTTTTATTTTTTGATTAAATATTTATTTTTCTTAATTTCGTGTCGTACCCAGATGGATTAAATATCACAGACGGATAAAGTATTAATAGTTGGCATCTTTATTATATATATTTATTTCATTTTATTATAGTTTAGTTTAGTTTAAGTTTTTATTATTCCAAATATCTTGGTGCTATATTCTTTAATTGCAAGTTGCAACACCAGCAAATTTAAATAAATTCACATCGTTTTATTTATTTATTTATTAATTGATTTTTATTTTATTATGGGTATATAAAAATGATCAACTTGATCTTATGCGTACAAACATATTTAATTGGACTTGTTTGTTTTTTTATGCTGATGTAGCAAACTGGAATTTTGTCATTATTTGTAGCAAAATTGGTTTAGCATGAGGCCATGACAGGTTCTTTTGTAAGTTTTGATTGCAAGGGCCATTTTTCAATTATAAAATATATATATATATATATTATTTAATTTGTGGATGAATAATAACAATAGACTGTCATGAAATATAATTATATGTTATTAGTAGGGCCGACGATTTAAGGATTGATTGAGTCAAATCAACATTCAATTTGACTCAATAAGCACATATACTAAAGATAAACAATATATATTTTATATCATATACCATGCTATACAGAAGCATATATTTTAGAATTTATATATAGTATTGTATTGTATATATAGATATGTTATGCTGAAAAGTAATAATATATTGTATTATTATCTATTGCGTGAATATATGCTGAATATTATATTATTATGTAATTATTATTTATTTGTTGTCTATATACGTACTAATAGAGTCGAATCAATATAATGTTAAAGATCAAAAATCAATATTTGTCTCAATCAAATTTACTTTTTTCATTATTAGTCCCATTCAAAAAATATTATTAAAATTAGTCCTATACAATTTTTTTCCTTTTTTTTTTTACTAATTTTGGTCCCACCGTGGTTGTACCGAAAGCTGAGATGACTCTGATTCGGATCGAACACGGTTGTATTACTTAGAACATCTACATTGAAACAATCATCATATCCCTTGAGTCCGCATAACACGTCCGTGTTCATTGACAAAACACATGTGTTTGAATATTTCACATTGCGTGAAGGCGGCCATGAATTCCCCACCGTGGTTGTACCGAAAGCTGAGATGACTCTGATTCGGATCGAACACAGTTGTATTACTTAGAACATGGCTACGTTGAAACAATCATCATATCCCTTGAGTCCGCATAACACGTCTGTGTTCATTGACAAAACACATGTGTTTGAATATTTCACATTGCGTGAAGGCGGCCGTAAATTCCCCAAACTATGGTAAGCATCGCACAATCCGCATAAATTCCACAACCCTTAGTTTGCAACTAAATTTGAAACTAATAAGTAAACTCGGCTATAGGACAACAACAATTCTCATGAATTGGTAATCAAAACCCACAGGATTTGCAAAGAAAAACCATTCTCCCAAATCAGGCGGAAGAAATTCTAAGGAACTGTTACGAATCAAGGAGACCAAAATTACAAAATAAAAACCCTAACCATGAACCACGGAAATTCAATTCAATTCAAATTGATTCCAATTTACTGGACTCACAATAAATCATTTCCTTCCCATCACATCAACATAATCCAAAGTCTTTCTGCCGAAAA